GTCCGCCTAATTATCAATCTTCTTCTCACACGTAGGCCTTCTCTAGAACAACGGGCCGGGCCCACGTTCATTTGTTCCTGTATCAACTATGATATTCCTAAACCACAATTTTTCCTAACTGACTGACTGAAGTGAACTTCATTTTGTCCGGAGAAGACAAGTCCCCCGAACGGGGCTCATCTGCGGGCCGCCTCCACGAAGGGACCGGGAGGTGGAACTCGACAGCCAGGTCGTGGGCTCTCTGGACAGCCCGAACATGGGGGTCACGGGGGTCACCGGAGGAGTTTACTTAGAGCCATTCTTTGATCACCTACCTATATTTGATGTTTTAGATTCCCTTACGGGCACCATGACAACAGAAGTAACATCATAACCAAGATAGATTACAAGGTATTACGCTAAGGCACGTTGCCGGGCTAGTTGGTTGAGATTCATCATTTTCACTGGTATGGCGCACCACGACAAGGACACACACAAAGGATAGATGCACACACACACACAGCGCTGTGTGTGTGTGCATCTCTCCTCTGTGTGTGTCCTTGTCGTGGTGCGCTATACCAGTGAAAAAGGTATTACGCCAAAAAGTTTGTGGCATTAAATACAACAAAATACAAAATGAGGACATAGACATCGAAACTTATAAGCTTATCAAATACCTACAAAACGCTATGGAAAGCAGTAATGGCCAGGTAAAGGAAAGCCGCCATAAAAAACCTATGTGCCCTTGGATGACTGAAAAGATACTTCAAACACTAAAAGCCAAAAAATACTGGCACAACAAATGGCGCCATAACAAATACAATCCCTACTACTTACAGCAATTTAAAGCTCAGCAGAATACGTCTGTCGCTATGATTCGATCACGCAAAAGGCAGTATTATACTCAACTAATTAGACAGACCGCTGGCAACACGAAAAAACTGTGGGGAACTATAAACGAAATCATAGGTAAACAAAACAACGTAAGCAAACGGTGCTTCTCGAAACACTTGATGAAGACGTTGTAGAAAATTTCAACGCATATTTCGCAGGTATTGGTCCATGACTGGTCAAAAAATTTAATGACTCGGACAACATTTCTATATCGCAGAGACCTCTGCCCAACACCTTCGTTATGTATAACATTGAGCCTCAAGAAGTGCTATAAGCAATTAATAAAATGTCTACCTTTAAAGCTTCTGGACTAGACAACATTACAATTCGTATGATTAAAGAATATATAGATGTATTAGGAGCAGTATTATGCCACTTATTCAATCACTTCGTCAGCTGCTCCAGATATCCATCTCAGCTGAAGATTGCTAAGGTTGTCCCTATCTACAAAGACGGAGACCGCAATGAACTTTCTAATTACAGGCCAATAGCCTTGCTCAGTATCATTAATATTATATTTGAAAAATTTCGATCAGCCGGTTCCAAAAATTCATTCAAAAATATCAGGTTATGTGCCCGCAGCAACATGGTTTCCACGCAAATCTCTCTACTTTATCAGCAGTGTTAACGCTATTTCAAAAAATCAATGTATCTTTGCAAAGTAATATACTTGTGTGTGTCATATTTTTGGACCTGAAGAAAGCCTTCGATACGGTTGATCACAACATACTTTTACATAAGCTAAAGCATTATGGTTATCGCCGTAGCCCATTAGATCTTCTCACAAGCTACCTTGATGAGCGAGTGCAGGTAGCTAGAATGAACGATATTACGTCATTACCAAAGTATATGCGCACTGGAGTCCCTCAAGGATCCGTCCTAGGGCCACTTTTATTTTCATTATGTAATAATGACTTCCCAAAAATTTTAGACACTAGTGGAGGTATTATGTACGCCGATGACACTTGTATTGTTATAACAGCGGACAACACTGAAGATCTGCTAACTAAAGCAAACAATGAGTTAAATAGTGCAAGTGAATGGTTCGTGAAGAACAAACTTACTATAAACGTAAAAAATATAAATATGTAGTGTTTCGATCACGCAACAATATCATGCCTCCTAATTCACTAGATTTGCAAATAAACTAATTTCAACTTGACGAAGCCAGCTTATTTAGATATCTTTGCGTGATATTTGATAAAAATCTGCACTGGCAAGAGCAAATAAACGCAGTTTGTACAAAGCTCTCCTCGGGATGCTACGCACTTTCACAAGCACGTCATCATCTCGATACCAATACTCTGCGTACTTTATATTTTTCACTCATTCACTGCCACATTTCATACTGCAAGGAATCATGGGGCACGACATATAAAACGTTTCTTGAACCTTTTCGCAAACTTCAAAAACGAGCCCTGAGAATAATCACCCAATCTGGCTACAATGAGTCGAGTACACCTTTGTTTATGAAAATGAATATTTTGCCTTATGATAAGGTACACGAATTAAAAATTGCCACGTGTGTTTTTAGTGTTGTCAAAAAGAACCTGCCTTTTCATGTTTCTTTATTTTTGCACAATCTCTCGTGTAAGCAGAAATAAAACATAAGGAAATTTCAATCTTCCTCCAACGAAGAATACTTACGGACAACGTTTGCTGCAGTTTTCAGGGCCAAAAATATGGAATAAACTACTAGCAGAAATAAAACAGTCGAATAATTTTTCATCAGTTCTCAAAAAAATACTTACTCACACAGAACAATGTTTATCAATGAAAACAATTATGATGTCATTTGTTTGTGTGTGTGTGTGTGTGTGTGTATGTATGTATGCATGTGTGTGCCAGAAACTTGTGAAATTGTTTAAAAATATCATTGTCACCCAATGATTAGGTTTTTGTTTTCGGTATTAGCCATGCATATTTTAACCTTCATAATAATGCAACAATCTGCTTTGTTTACTTGTATTTTCGTAAGTTAGAACTGTTAAAAGCAATCGTGCATTTACCGACACTTTCGCTCTCCCTTTGTTTCACTCGTTCAAATTAAGGATGCACGATAACTATCTGTATGCGTGTGATATATCTTTTTTTGTACATGGAACCCTTAGAACTAGCCTTCGGCTATGGGTCCAACCAGTCGTGATGTTTCTGTATGTTTCACAGTTTGAAATAAAGAATTGAATTGAAAAAAAAGTTGATCTTTTTCTTTCGGACTTGTGAGGAGAGCTGTCCACTGTTCCTCCGTCGCTGGAGACCCAGCAGCCACGCGCAGCATGGGTTCATTGCCACAGTATATGTTGCAAATTGCATCTCGGGAGCCCACATGGAAGGCTGCCCGGCTTTGTTTCACCAATAAAACGAGAATAATATATAGGTGAAGGGTAAGCACCTGTTCATAACAGACGTAAAGTGAGAGTTCGCGGTCTCGTTAGATGTTGATGAGGTAGAGGAAACTTTCTGCGCTCAAGGCGGTAGTGCTGACAAATTTCGTTGTACGTTAGCAGCGGGTCCCGCTGCCATGGCTCACCCTTGGTCCTTCGGCCGCCCTCTCTCCTGGCGCGGCGAGTAAGGTCTCGAGCTGGGAGTGAGCTAGCTCGTTGGCGTAAGGAATGAGGGGGTGAGCATCTTGGCCCACGTGGCCGGGGAACCAGATCAAGTGTTTAGTACCAGCCCACGTTGCACACGAGAGCACGCGGGCTGCCTCTTTACAATTCGAGCCGGCGCGAAAGGCTCTAGCTGCGGCTTTGGAGTCTGTGTAGACCGTTTTGCGATCCGTGGTCACCAAAGCTAATGCTATAGCGGTCTGCATCCGTGTTGGGGAGTGTTAGAGAAGTGAGGTGTTCACCTTGTAGCGACTTAACGGCTGCTAAGAAATGCTTGAAATTAACGTATTGAGCAGCGTCCACGGAAGATACTGAATTAGGCACTGCTGCCGTTTTGAGGAGGGCGGCTGCTCTAGCCTTACGTCGGCCGGGGTTGTATTGCGGGTGTATGTTACGTGGGAGCGGGGAAACGAGTAGGCGTTTTCTACTCTGCTATTTTTCTGTCTGTGAATGTTACACCCTTCAGTTTCCTTTTCATTGTTCACTGCGTCGTCTTTAATTTAGGTTGACCCCTCTTTGTAAGCCTCCGAAATTCTGCTCCGTAGGTAAGTACTGGCAAGATGCAGCTGTTATATAATTTTCTTTTGAGAAAAAAATGGTAAACTATCATTCATAATTTGAGAATGATTGCAAATGTGCCCATCCCATCCTTATATTTCTAAATATTTCATTCCCATGGGGCACCTCCAAGATTATTAGTCCCGAGTAGGCCTATTCTCTTACAACTTCCAATTTCTCGCTACGTGTCGGAAACCTCTGTTTTCTGGCGAGACTGTTGCACATTATTTTAGATATATGCACAACAATTCAAACCTACTGTTCTGCTTCAGTTGTCCAGTTCAGTAATCATCAGCTGTGATTGGTCCCCTGACTTTCTCATGAATGCAATTGCATTAGCGTATCGCAAGTTGCTAAGATAACCTTCATTAACTGTTATCCCTGATCCATCTCAATCTAGGGTCTCTAACACCTCCTGTAGACACGTGGGGAATAGGATCGGAGAGATCGTGTCTCTCTGCATAACATCCCTCTCTTATGAAGTTTTATCGCTTCCTTTATGGGGGACTATGGCTAGGAATAATATATGCGCAATGGAAGAGCGTGTTGTTTCACCACAGAACGCTCTTTTTGCTCCGCCAAATGAATCCTGTCGAAGTAATCAGAAGCAAATGCAATACCGCGAAAGCAGGAAACCACATCCGCTGTAACAATACAACAGTGAAAGCGCAGTCACCCATGTAGCTAACGCAAAAGTGCTCAGCACGTGTGTGCAACGAGTTGAGACTCATAAAGGTTGATAGTATTTCTCATTGAACCCTGAGCGGATATTTCTTTCGTTGTTTCTCTTTAGCGCTGTGCGTACGATACGTCCACGTGCTCGTGCCACTGACCTCGTTTATGCTTTGTGCGTATGATTTATAAAACGCGAGCATATAATAGTACTGTAGAGGCACTCTTCAACTGAAACAAGAGTGGTTAACATCAGAGGGAAAAAGAAGACACCCGATTTCAGGACAGTAGGCAACAATGCGACGTTGGGAACTCACACTCGTAGTGATACTCGCTTTCGTCTCCCTACCCCTTCTCACCAACGGAAGCTCAGACGTACGCTATAACAACCCTCTTCTTGGAGTCTATCAAAACGAGGAGGCAGTAAGTATGAATTTACATGCACTTTCTGGTTACAGTCTTCATGTAATACAACCAATAGTGTTGTGGTAATACATTGTTGTAGTTTCGCGTGCTAAGTTCAGAATTAGATCATAAACAGTCACATGAATCTACCGTACAACTAAGGAAAGCGAAGCCTAAGGAACATTAATTGTTCACTTTAACTATAGTGCAGTTAATATTACATAAACTTAAAATAAATAAAGCCGACAAAAAGCCCTTTTTTTCAGTGCAATTTGAACTAGCAAAATTTGAATTACGTTCCTAATTCACCACAAACTGAACAACGACCAAGCTCATTGGTGCAGCAACTTTCACTTCATTTGGGCGTTTTTCTATGCGTAATCAATGGGAGTTTTAGCCGATCCACCTCGCAGTAAACTCGCCGTCATAGCTGCGAGTGGCATTGGCTAACACATCTGGGTTGTGGAGTCAGCATTGACAGTCAATGCCCACACACTGTGGAGGAGCTTTTTTCCCGATTTTGTTGTGGATTGTAGCTCGTGTGGCTGTGTGCCTAGTCTGAACATAACATTCACGAAAAATAACACATCGATAAACACACCAGAGACACGTGCTGAAGTCCTGAATGCAAGTTCAAAGAAATAATGTATCAATCTATCATAGTGTCTGATAAAGATTGGGATTATTTTTTCGCAAATACTCCTTTAGGCTGTTTCATATTCCTTCTTTGACACATCCGTATGAAAATCATTCTTCAAGTTTGAGTGTGTAAACTTTTTGAATCTACTTGAAATAAGTCAACTCACGAGTCGGTATTTTTATCATTTATTTTGTGTCCCAACTGTTGCATTGTCTTTAATACACGAACAATAGAAATTGACTGGGATGCTGTTGTATGCTATATTTTTGCCGCATATTTTAAAAAATGCCGTCTTTAGCTCTATGCATGAACTATTTGAAAATATTCTGCAAATATTGCTAGGTCATCTAGGAAATTCAACACAGAAGATAATATTTATTGTCTCTTTAGCCGACGCAGTTTGTATGTTACCTATAATTTGTGCTTTGGTGTGTCTCAATGAGTAAAATATAGTACATATCTAACCCTCATCGGTCGCTGGAGGTCTATGCAGGAGGATGATCTTGAAATATAGTTTTGTTTCACTGTTACACTGTTATACATACAGTGGCTATGCATCACCACAGTGACCCCAAAGAGTGCCTCTGAAAAAAATGCGATAGTCTTGTCATGCTTGTGTAGCGCAAAAAAACATACTTACATAGAAAATTAAAAAAAGTTGAAGACAGTCATAAGCGGCCAGCATGTAAGAAACCCCACCGGTAGCATGTAAGACACCCCGGCGGGATATATGTCGAGAGCAAGGTGGTACTGCGGAACCGCGTTGAAATTTGCATGCATCATTTAAAAAAATGAGCGTAGGCTCATTAAAAGAATGTGGGAAGAAGTGTATGCGCTTCTCAAAATATCTACCTTAAAAACAGACAATAACGGACATAGTGTGACAAGTGATGTCCTGTTACCTTAAATATTATGCATCCAGTCTGTAAAGTCGAGAAGCCTAATAACACCTTTATTACGAACCTAGAATTAACCCCGAAAATAAATTTAGATAGTTTCGTCCAGCTCTTATCAGTCCAACCCGCGCAGTCCAATGTTTACCTTCTATTGGTGCAATACCGTGAAGAGCACATATACCGTTGTATTGTGATTGGCTAACCTAGTATATTATTCTTATCTGGATTATTGTACTTTTTAAATTTATAACAAAGGTAAGGAATTCGGCATTTAGCCTATACTTCTTCGTCCAAAAGTGCTACTTTTATGCTAAATACGAGTGCTACTTAAGCTGAAAGATGCGTGATTAGCTTTATTGTTAAAACATAGTACCTAAAAAACAAAGTGCTGTTATTGTCTCCCATGTTCTTGCTTTGCTCATCATGTAAACCTACCTAATTACTGCAAATTATTATTCTTTCTACAACACTTGCCACAAAACATCCTTGAATATACTCTTGCTATTTGCAGAAAAAAGCGTGTTGTATACTATTGCAGAATAAAATGTCGTCTTAGGCAGAATGAACACTCTACTATTTCCATCATGAACACATTTCTGCAACAAATTATCGTATAATAAAGTATAACTTTTAGCAAAGCATGCAATGTTTTGCCTCTAAAAGCGCCTTGCTTTCGATTTCATAGTCGGGCAACACCACCAAGAGCTGATTTGTGGTCTTACCACGCCGCGCTTGTTAGGTGCAATTTTTTCTCGGGTTGGGGCCAGGACCACGTCTGGCTTAAAGTCCGCGGGCTGGGTTCCCGTGGGCAAACTGGTTCCAGGTATTTCCAGAATCGAGAATCACGCTCCGTACAGTATTATAGTTTTGATGGCTTTATCTGCTTCTGCGATGGGACCATGTCACGCTGAGTACGGCACCCATTTCAAGTGGCATCTTATTTTGAGGGCTGAATAAATGAGCAACCATGCGTAGCGTCAACGCAAGTGTTTTACCATCTGTGAGTAGTGACTTCAGCCGGACACTTTTTGCAATTGCGAGAACGACTGCAAGGACTTCAGCGGCTTTCGCCTCAGCCACCATTTTGAATCGTAGCGGCATGTTGCCAATTTGTCGCAGGACAGTGCAGTCATCTTATGGCGGACCATGTTAAACTAATGCGAATAAAAACAAGCCACATCCCTTAGTAAATGGGCATACAGTTAATAACGTTCATTGCGTCAAATGGGTTAGGGTGAAAGAGCACTTTTCGAGAGTGTGTTAGGGAAATAACGGCACTTTTTAACGCCTCCGCAGGCCTCACATTACGTTGAATGTGTTTACTTTAAATGTCGTAAACAACAAAAATTACCTTCCTCGCGTTTTGTTAGCGGTATTGTTTTTCTTGGGCGCAAGGAAAAGTCACCCCTCACGTTACAATCAGATAACCCGCACGAGTGGTGTAGGTGGTATAGTGCTCGACTTCTGACTCACAGGTCACGAGATCAAATACCGGTAATAGCGGCTGCATTCATATGGAGTTGAAAATGCTTGGGCCCGTCTGCTTGGATTTACGTGCCGTTCAAAGAGCCCCAGGTGCTCAAGCCTTTCGTAAAGTTTACCTCATAATCACATCTCGGTTTTGGGATGGTAAACAGAACAATGATTATTTTGACAATTTTGATCGTGTAGCAGTCGAACAATTACGGCATTATGGAATAGGCGTCTCTACCACACATTGATTTCATGTTATGATGTCAGCAGCGTTAGCTTGAATACCATGAAAGATGGATTGAAGAAGAACATTTATCTCTTTCAAATACTTAGTTTTCAGGCAGCAGTAATTAATTCTTCCTCGTAAATTTTCTCATGGCACCAGAAAATGATCACTGTAAACTTTATTTTAGGCTTATTTTCTAAGCACTTGTCATTAGTGTTCGTATTTTGAAAACAGTTATTTTCGCAATTAAGCTCACTATTCGAAACGGGTTCATTTATTAGCTTCCCGTTTTCACAGCACAGCATCTGAAAGTACTCTAATGCAGGGGGCTCAAATTTCATAAAGCCACTTGGTGCATTGGCTCTGAGCATATTTCTTGATGGTCTGAAAATATTTTTTGAACTAGCAATAATTTAGTGAGAACACTGTTGCGTTAACTGAATTGTATATTTGCAGTGCTTCCCTTTGGAGGAAAAATGGTACATCATGTACAGGAACTACAAAGATGACCCCTATTTTGGAAGTGCCGGACAGTGTATCAAGATCTTCGCGACAGGTCCTTTTGTGGACAACTCTGGACCTTTTGAAGTGGATGTTGGAGATAGCGACAAAATGTAAGTCAGAGTTAAGAGAAGAAACTTTCCGGAACGAATGAAGTTGCGTGCGTGACATTTATATTCTACAGTGATAGAGAATTGGAAGTGGACCCTATATATAAACGAGCATATCATTCCTGTCTTACACGTTGGCGCAGCCATTGTTCCTGACACAATGTTTTTTTCAGTTTCACTTGTGTCACTGTTCTTGTTTTTTTGTCATCACAATTCGCGCTTGACAGTTTGACACTACGTATAAATGATGAAATAGTTTTGAAGAGTTCTGATGCATTAAGCTTTCTGAAACAAAAAGGTTGCTGTGCAATTGTGTGGCACCCTATGCCACTTCAAATGAAAAAATGCAGCGCTAACAACGAAATTATGGTCTAGTATGGCACTCTGACTGTACCCATAAGACGATTTATATGGCGTTCTCCAGAACGGCGTACATCATGAACGCCGGTGTGAAAACCGTGTTACATTAATACTTTTCGGCTAGTTTATTACTGTAAGCTAAGCGCTCAAAGATTCAAATGAGCTGAAATTTTCGGCCGCCCAAATTTGTGTACTCATGCATAATCTAATCAAATTACCCATGTCATTATAGCTTCACGTCTATAAGAAACATTTAAGGGGACGGACCTCTCATTGAATCGTGTCATCTCACTTTTATCTTTCATCTTGTCACAATGTTTGTTAGCCTTTTTTTCCAGCAAACCGATTTGACTAACCTACCTACTATATTTCTGACAAAAGTAATCAACACGAGTATAAAGCCACTAAAAAAGTTCTGTATGAAGTTTTTTTTTTCTCGCTGACTCTATGCTTAACATTTTTTTATCTAGCCCTTTCTCAAGAGCACTCAAGCCCATATACTATATAGTAAATAATGAGTAAATAAATTTCTATTGTTTCTTTCAGAAACCAAAAAAACGTTCAAAAACTTCTCTGTAAAACTATCACCTTCAAAAGATATTAACAATACGTTTCCTAAAGCCAATTTTGAAAAGCATCTGGTACTATAGAGTGTCTGGGCTGTGACATTTGCAAGAATAAAATTTCTAATAACAATGCCATCTTAATACATTGGCTTTTTGGCCACAAAATTTTTTCTGTGTTAAGAACAAGTTTTAATCTTTGTTATTTATAGTATTTACCTTTTTTTTTTCGTTTTTCTCAACTTTACAAACGAATTATTCGACAAACAGAAAAGTGGAAGCGTCACTTCTGTCATCTCCTGGATACACCGTGAAGAACGTCATTCATGTGGATGTGACTGAGGGTATGTTTCGGTATACCTTAGCATTTCTTCCGTGTATGATAACATTGATGGTCTACTCGACCTCGTTCTGCGCATTTGGGAAGTTCTCAACTAGTAATTGTGTCGTCTGCGTAAAGAGGCATCAGGAGCTCACGACTTGTATGAGTTGCGCCACATTTCTGCTGAACGAAGCAGGGGTTGAAGTATTAGCACGTGCTGCTTGGGTTTTCGTTTCTGTTCATAAAAAGTTACCGAACAAAATTTTGAGCAATGTTGGTTAGAAAAGTATTGCCGTTACCTCGATGAAGACTACATAAATTTCGTAAGCAAATTGTATATATACAGCCAAATTCTGCTATGCAACCTGCCTAACCAGTCACCGAGGCACTGAAGAATTGAGAATAAATGGTCCCCGTAAAGTAAAAGTCGACAATGCTTTTTTCCGGTATGAAACGATGTAACTTGTTGCATTGTAAAATAAAGAGTAAACACTTGGTTAGGTCGAGACGAGTACTGCTTTATTATTTTCTCACGTCCTCATGAAGTATTTGTTCAATAATTTCATTTCACATATAAAATTTATGTGAATGTATTCTGATGGTTTATTCACGTGACAGAAGACCTTATTCAACGGAAAATGTAGCTAGATAAACCTGCGTGAGCAAGCAGCTGTTATTACTATAAAGCTCTGGCTAAGTATATTTATATTCTCATAATACTTGTTTTTTATTTATCAATCAATCAGCAATAAATCCTGCAGTAAAGTTGAAACTACTTGATATTTTGTGTTACAGTTTTCTTTACATGATAAAAACACAAAGAAAATCAAAGGTACAACTTTAACTTGTCTAGTCATGCCATGGATTGAAAGAACATGCAGACACGACAAAAGTTCACTCTAGATGGCAAAATTAGGAGCAGCCATAGTCTGCGGCAGGCTATGGGCAAGGTTACCTGGTCGAAGTGACTAAAATAGCTTCAAAATATGTTGGACTAACGAATAAGTAGCCATGTTTAGCCATGAGTAGCCAAAGTAACCAATATTGCCGCGGATGTGTTAAAATAAACGTGACATTTTTGCATTTGAATAAGTAAATGCATTAGGCCATCAGTGAAAATATGAACAATGAGAGCAAAAACCTTACGAAATCTTAATCTATGAGAATAATCATGATGGATCTCGTCCCAAATAACAAAGTGTATTCAAAAGTTGCAAAAATAGACACTCTTTACACACCTCTAGCAGTTTGTTTTAAAAGAGCTTGAAGCAACGTTCATATAGTCACTTTATTGCATTATTATTGGGGTTAGATTCAGTGTAGGAGATTTCAAGCATAAGTCATAGTGATGTTCGCAAAAACTTCTGTCGCGTGATCCCGCAGTACAGTCAGTGTACATTTATAAGATTAATGCCAAGGTCTACGGGAACTGGGAAAGCTTGTTGCTCTCCCACGGTAGAGTACAGTGTACTGTGAATTGTTAAGATTTTCCTCTAAGCACATCAGCTTAAATTCATGTGAAGCAGTTCATACCTACACTCTGGGAAGTGTGCGAGAAAGAGTATTATCCAGGTTGTATTTTAGAGGAGTAGCTGATTTGGCACACCCACTCCTCCCTTTTGAGCGTAGCTGCTAAGAAGAGATGTGTATTACGCCACATGGTACTCTTTGGAGGACAACTACAGTCGCTCCTTTCCACTTCTTTTCAAGGAAGCAACGAATGCTCCTTTCTCACACTTCTGAAAAGAGCAATAGTTATAGGCTTCGCGCAAAAGGTAAGATTGCTGTTCTTGGTTGAACAATCCGACACTTTATGGCTTATTTAAACATATCATTGCATGCACAACTTACATGCAAACACCACAGTAAGAAATAAATTCAAGAGAATGAGTAACAAACGGTATTCGAACGCGTACGTTACGCAGTTTTCGAATATGGGCCCTAAAGGAATAGTGTCCAGCTTACCACACATCCCGTTATTTCTTGAGTTCAGCAGAAGCCCCAAAGCCTGCTCGAAAAGCTTTGCGTCATACAAACGTGACGGGACCTACTGAAATAAAGTAACCTCGAATACAGGGAGTGTCCAAAGCACCAAAACCGTAATCGAAAACATTTAGCCCTCTGCTTGTCCGAAAGCGAGCACACGCAAAAAGCTTTGGGACCCCTATTCAAAAAATACCTATTACCTACTACACCACACCACGCTATGGTGCCATCTGAAGGAAAAAATGGGTTTAATTTACAGCAATGACTCCTGGCAAGTCCAAAATACGAGACCTGACGCTTCGTCATTTGTATTTTGTCAAAGTCTTCGCGGAAGTTGCAAGTTGTTGCCTCTTTCGTCATAAAACTTTGCCAACATGTCCAGTCGGTCAACGTTGTCTGTGAATTGAGGATAAATCAAACAGTTTTCTTACTCCCTACTCATCTCCTACTCACCCCACCACCCACATCCAATTTGTTTTTTATTTTTATTTAATGCAGAAGATGGATATAAAAGTCTGCGAGTGAGAGAAACGACTTGATGCCTTGTTTTCACAAGGCATACTGGAACGACAGGGGCAATGAGGTGACAGGTTACTCATACCTTTTTTTACCTAGAGGTAAGAAGAAGGTACTCAGAGAGCAGCCAAATAACCGAGGTGTTTCTTCCCCCTCCCCCCCAGCCTAAAGGTAGCTGAATTTGCTCGCAAAGTGTCCAACCTTAGCAACTCCGGTCCTTTAGGTGTGAGCTGTTTAGACTGGAGGCATTCTGCTGGCGTGCGTACTAAAACTAGATGCAATCACTACTGACGTGTCGCAGCCTCTTCGACCACATTCACGTTGCATCTTTCATTGCAGTGCCTGGGCTAAGCTTGAACTTGACCGCTATATACACAGACTGTAGCAACTGTAAAGTGATACATCATGACTACGTCAATGAACAAGGTACTGTAGACATTTCGCATTTGTCCACTGTTCATTAGGAGAACATATTTGTCTAATGATTCAAGAAAACCAATACGCAAGGGAAAAGTGGCTGTCAACGTTATAAAAGCAGCGCTATGCATAGTGGCAAATAGTTGTGAACCGCGAACTAAAGAACGCATTCCATTGTGTTGTATCTTTATGACACGCAAACTGTGAAACTATAAACATATTTAAGCTATTATATTGAATGAATGAAGTGAATATAGAAGTATTTTTCTGCGCGTCACCTAAATAGTTGATGGAAGCTCATTAACTGCGCATTGTTCTGCAGTGAGTTGTCAATTTTTTCAGATGAATAGTTGAAATTCTTTCAGGCGTCCGGAAAATCTTAGGTCAGCAATTCACTATTCGTTAGAAACGGCAGTGATGTCTCGCAAACCAACTGACTAGCTTTAGTTAAAAACTCTAGAGCTCGCTAGGAGTCCTTCACTGCCTACTTGCTGGCTATCGTCTGTCTAAACAATCCTCAGTCTCAGTTACTGTTTCGTTTCATTCTCGTTCTGCTGTGAACATTACCATTGACGAATTCATCTCAGCTTCACCAAACGCAAGAATGTGTCTAGGAACGCAAGCGAAAAGCAGCAGCGAGCTGCTGATGCGACTTATTTCGTTCTCGCGTCACCCAAAAACTAACAGATAACGAAATCCAGTAATTTTTATATTTAGTGCGCATAACTATAGGGACGTGCTAATGCCAAATAAAATAACGCTTGTGACAAGGTCGACAGACCGCACTCTACATTTTGAAAATATGTAGTTCTTACTTCGCAAAAACATTTTGTTTCACTTCTATCGCAACATACAATGCCGTACAAAGTTCTTTTGCGCAAAGCTCTACAAAATTCAACAGTTATTTTGTTGTACTAGTTGCACTGTGCTTGTTACTTCAACGTTTTCTATTGCATAAAACCAGTGAAGTCCTTTCCACAAATATTTTAGCCCAGTTGTGTTTATTTAAGAGAATAAAACATACGCCTCCATGAGGTACCTGGCAGAGTAGAGATGAAACACGAGAAATATTAACCCCCAAAAAGCCAACCGGCACTGCAAAACTGTCTTCGAGTCGAGATGCTCCACCACTGACGTTAGCACTTCGATGGTGCACATCATTATCGTCATCATCATGATCTGTAGCAGTCCGAGAATTGTGTCGCCAATGGCTTCATTGTGCTAAAGGTACTTTGTAGTTGTGATCACGGTAGAATTACTGCACCGACATCGTCAAAGTGTTAAGTGTGCTTGTGGTGTAAACTCACGAACAGCTGGATATCTCAATGTAAATACACTAACACAGATTTTTCGTTTATGCAGCATGCAGCTTGTGGCAGCCCCAGAGCACACTTGGCCAAGATGTGAAATGCTGCCATTTCATTTACGACTTGCTTTGCGGACCAAAATATCCAGTTTGCGAGGATATCTAAATAAAGTGGATACATTGTGTTCTTCATTTTAATATTTCAGCTTATTCAGAAATTTCCTCAAAAGTTGCACCGTGCAAGAAGGTTCAGACTTTGATCAATGCCAGAATGCCCACAACTCATACAGTACTGAGACCACTGGGTAAACCTGAAACGAGAAGTCCTCACTTGCTTCGCATATACAGTAGACACTTGAAGCTATCCTCAATGAAGTAGTCTCTTCTTAAGAGGAGTTCATATTTGAAGATCCCATGTAAGAAATGTTTATGAACCCATGACGTGGAATTCAACTAAATGAATGTGTGCATCCACCACGCCTTTCTCACCAAAAGTTCATGTAGAAATGGTCAAAGTCTTATTATATGAATAAGACAAAAATACCTTGAGGATGGTCGTTTAGTATACCTTAAACTACGAAAGAAATGCAGACATTTTACACGCTGCAATGATCCCAGTAGGTAAAGCTGGATAACGATAAACCAGCAGCGACCGAAAAGGTTGAGTCATTTTTTTACATTTTCATAGCTGTTAGAGGGATGGGGGAGTCGCCTACTTTACCCCCCAAAACGTTTTATTTTCTATGTGAATACATGCATGCGCACATGCATACAAGCCCATTGAAAGTTTAGTAAAAAAGAACAAATACGCCCTTCCAAAAAGCCAATGGGGCAGAGAAATCGCCAGCCAAGCCTGCCAGAAGAAAAGCACGTGAAGCAACATGAAGGAAAAAATTGGCAGATCCCACGCACAACGGGAATCGATGATATGCGAAGCGCGAATGAGAATGGTTCACATGTCGCTTTCAAATCAGCGCAACGTTACGAGGCGGAGGTAAATGATGCCGTACATGACTTCCGTGTCATGACTATCATGTCTGTATGCGTCGTTTACCTTCGTCATCTATTCACTTCACGTGATGCCAAATTGAGTATATGTCAAGCTAGCGAAACGACCGCGAGCACGCCGTGAGCGCGGTATGTTGTCATGTTCTCACATGACACGCGTGTCAGGATTATCATGTTTGCACCAGTCATATGCTTTCGTAATTCATTGACGTCACATAACACTAAATTTGGTATATGTGGAGCTAGCAAAACAGCCGTGAGCGCATCACGAAGGGCTCAGTATACTGCAATGTAGCGTATAAAACGCGAGCATTTTATAATCTGACGCCAGGCGCGACCAACGTTCGTTGGCGCAGCATGACGGCAACGGGCGCGAAATGCGACATGCTGCATTTCGCATCGATGCGTTACCCAGACAACACAGCGTCTCCTGCTTTTTGTGACAGAGGGACGCCGGACGCGCTGAAACGCGCATGCGCCAAAGCAACGCAGCGCGGCGCGCGCCTGCGAGTATATGGCAGGACTGGTGCCTGGCATGGCAACGCCGGCGTGACCCGATGAAATGAACACCGGTGAGCGCAAGCACCGCGGCACGTCAAAATGTATTGGCGCATTGAGTGTGGCATGCAGTCATGTTCTCACATGAAACGCATTTTATGATTATCATGTCGCTTGCACCAGTCACATACCTTCATCTTCCATTGACGTCATGTAATACCAAATTTGCCATACGTAAAGCTTGGGAAGCGGCCACGAGCGCATCATAAGTGTGGCAAGTAGTCCTTTTGTTACATGACACGCATGTCGTCATTATCATGTTTGTATGTGTCATTTACCTATGTCGTCCGTTCGCGTCGCGTAACACCGGGTTTGGTACATGTGAGGCTATCGAAACGGCCACGAGCGTATCATGAGCATAACATGTAGTCAGGTTTTTACATGACACGCATGTCATGGTTTTCGTGTTAGGGTCTCTCGCTTGTGTTCGCCATGCTATCATGTCATACCATACTAGTTTTGCAACATGTCAAGTGAACGAAACCATGGCAAGAGCTGCAGGACCATGAATTGTAATTCATGACATTCATGACATTCATATCACGATTTTCAAGTTATGACTAGTCAAATATGTTCTTCATACAGTCATATTATGCCATACCAAGTTTCGTATTGATACCATTATTGAAACGGCCAGGAGAGCTAAATGTCCTGTATAGCTAGCTAGCTTGTTAGATAGATAGATAGATAGATAGATAGATAGATAGATAGATAGATAGATAGATAGATAGATAGATAGATAGATAGATATACGCGCCAAGTCGCCGATGTTTCGCAAAATGCTTCGCAATTAAAAAGCACGTAATTAAATGCTTCGCAATTAAAAAGCACGTGAATCACGGGAAGAAACTAAGAATGCCACAGTGCAGCCAATGAGACAAATTGGGCTGAACAATATTAAGGCTCGGACGAAAGCGTACCCATAGGCGCCTAATACGAAACTCATGGAGCTTTCGCAAGACATTATGCCTTACAAAACGGCAAAAACTTGGTTTTCATGAAAGGACGCAAACTGGAAGTACTGCAGTATAAGGGTGACAACAGTCAAAAGGCATAGAGAATGGTGATAAGATGTAGTCGTGCAAACATGGTGGTTCCACAAGAATTGTAAAACATAAAAGTGCACCAAGAAAGGTCGGCTAACTGATGGAACAACTTTCACAATCGATTTCCTGAATACCGCTGCCATGGTGGAGTCGTTATTGTTTAGTTTTTGAACACGTCACGTAGCGTTTTCGCATGAAAAAAGAGCTTTTCTCTATCTCATATATGGATCACTTCTGAAGACGTTTTAGCCTCAGAATTCCTTCCAGAAGCTTATCGGCACTGACTTCCATAAGTAATTAAATTTGTGCACCAATGGTGAAACATTTAAAGTTTTTTCATGGCTTTGTTTGAAACTATCTAATGACCTCATAGATGGAATGCCTCATGTAAAGCAAAGACAAAAAATAAAAAAAGCTTGAGACCATTAGTATACGTGTAGCTTAACCAAACTAAATATTATTATGTGTGTACCTTTTAGATGACTTATAACCACTTTATTCCTTTTGAAGCCGTGGGCCGTCAGTGAAACGTCTACGGGCCACCTCCATCCCACCAGCCCCGCGTTTCAGACCTTTTGATAAATCACGAAAATAGCTTAGAGTTGTTTTTATACTGCAGCATGGTTTATAATACACACATGAGGTCTTTAGCAGGGGTCTTTAACCTGAAGCGACTACACTTCACAGACACCATACGGAACGTCGGGGGCGGGGTAGGGAAATCGCAGAATAACGGAAGAAAGAAGAGCATGTCTTATAGCTTCAATAATCACTTCTGACCATGGAGCTGTTTTAGGCTTGAAGCAATTCAGCGTAGAATACGTAGAAAGTACGGCTTACGTAATAATATAATTGGGTAAGCCTCACTACGAAGTACAGCAGGAGCGAGGGACACTGAGAATACTAGAGGGCAGAGCGGAGCGTTACAAAGCGGAGCAGAAGGAGGTTTAAGCCGGTGGTTAGTGAGTGCTTGACCCGGCCAGGAGGAAGGAGGCAGGGTATGATGAGAAGGTGGGTAATGAGGAACCGAAGGCGAGCGTTGCCGCTACTTGTCCACCCAGGTGCGGTAGCTGAGCAAGCATTTATGGGAGCCTTATGATTGCGTTGCTTTGACCAAGAAAACGAAAAAGCACACAAAAAGAAAGACGGGAAGAATCATTGAATGAAAGAGAAGTATAGAGAAAGAACGACAGAGAAGGGAAGAATATCATTGTCATGTATTGTATTGTGCAACAAGGGGGTGTGGCTGCCGGGTTAACTGACCACGACTATGAGCCAGTTTTTGGCTGAAAGAGGGACCAAACAACATCCGTGCGTCGGCTGCAGGACGGAACATAGGGACCCCATTTAAAAAAAAGACATATCTCACCTAGAGTCTCGCCAGGTGGCGCCGTTTTGTTTGGCTGGCCGCATACAGTGCTCCACTTTAACGTGTTCTTGGCCCGTTACCGGGCCCCGCCCGTGTCTGGACAAGCTCACTATTCCTTCTGGAAGACTTCCGGGACACGCCGACACCATCCGGGCCCCGGTCCGACCCCAGGCTGGCCCCCCAGGCCCCTTCAAAAGTACGAAGCGGCGCGGCGCCGCGCTAACCCTAACGCGCCGCGCCTGCACCTCCACGATGCCGAGTCCAGCCCAGCACTCGACACCAACGACAACTGACGCCCTGTCGGTAAGCCCAGCCTCCTCCGGTCGTACCCCTGATACAGCCGTGCCTCCGCTGTCAATATCTGGCAATGTCACCAGCCCCGCGCCGACAACAATGCAGCAACAGGCAGCGTTCCTCAACAGCGCGCACGGTCCAGCAACGTGCAACGCTGGTGGCGTCTCTGCTACTCTCAGCTTGATAGCCACGCAAACGCCGGAGCCCGAGAGCCGTAATGCAGCGTTGGCATTGCAATCAACCACGCCTGCTGCTCTCCCCACCTTATCTGCGTCTGGCCTACCCATTGGAAATTCCGAGTCTGTCGACAAGCGCGTTTCGACGAGCGTCGTTCCTTCCATCGCCGAAGTTTTGCCTTCCATCACTTCAGCTGACAACTTATCGACGGAAATAGACTTCACGGCATCGCAAGTGAACGAAGACAATACGCCATCCCCTGAAGGCAGCTGGAACACCGTTAGTGCCAATCGAAAACCTGCCTCGACCGCCCACCCCCGCTCCGAGCTCATCACCGTCGGAATCCAACTTCCACCCGGAACACTCACGCCGAAACTGCCTCTCTATGACCTGCTATCTACCATCATAGCCGCCGCAAATCTCTCTCCCAAGACCAGTGCGGAGGTCACCCTTCAAGCCAAACCTGCTCAGAGCCTTGTGTTTCTGAAAACGCACTCACCTCTCACTGCCCACCTCCTACTCTCCCTCACAAGTCTGGAACTTAATGGTAAGCCGATCACCATTAAGCCATATGCCCTCAGTCCTCCAATATCATGTCTCGGTGTCATACACAACGTCGGTGGTCATTTCACAACATCTCAGCTCTTGCATGACCTCGAATCCTTTACTTCAGATATACTCGCGGCACGTATGATGGGCTCCACTGAATCCGTCCTCATAACATTTGCTGGAACCATAATCCCTCGC